ATATAATAATACTATACTAGTATTTAGATACTATATTATACTACTACTATGTACTATACTATGTACTATATGTACTATATGTACTATACTATACTACTATACTATACTATACTAGTACTATGTACATAGATTTAGATACTATATGATTTACATACTGTATGTATATATGTATATAAACATAAGCCATTTGCTCAGTGAATATCTGAACATTCCTTCCTATTATATTTTCTTTTCAGGTCAAATGTAATGTAATACCACATGATGGCCACTCAATGCTCCTTCTTTCTTATACTCCTCAGCACCATCTAGTGGCCACAATGTGGTATTACATTATATTACATTTGACCTGAAAAGAAAATATACTAAGAGCATTCATTTTTTCCTCCATTTAAATGGAATGAACGTTTACAGAGATTTGGAGGGCAAATAGCTCTGCAAATTGTCCTCTATGAGTTAGACATGTGCAAAGGCTTATATGATGGAATTCAGTGCATCTGGTTCATAAAGGCAGACTATGCATCACTATACAGGTAAATACCCAATAAATATTGATTACTAATATCCCATTATATGTTTCATTATTTGTTTTTACAAAGAGCAACTGCAGAGCCAGGAAAAATATGCAAAAGAACATTCATTCATTTGTACATGTTTGACTTAGAATGTTTTAAGAAATATATGGGAGCTTACCAAATGGGAAAACTGGAATAAAGTGGTTCTTTTGATTCGGAATATATTATGTTGACACTTATGACAGGTATAGGCTATTCTGTTTGCCACATGTACTGTAAGACATAAGGTTGTCTGTTCTGTACGTATACCAACCTGTTTTGTGTAGGGCTGGTAATGATTAAAATTTTCGTGTTCGATTAATGGAAACAAATTTTAATCGATTAATTTTGATTAATTATAACGTACATACAGATCCAACTACATTGGCCTATACACATACAGCACAGCAATGAAGTAATACAATGAACTAGGATCACACTAATCCAGCACATTATTAATCTCACGTGCCCCACTCAATATGGTCGCCGCTTGAGTGCGGCAACTCAGAATAATAACCTGCTGGATTAGTGTGATCCTAGTTCATTTTATTACTTCATTGCTGTTCTGTATGTGTATAGGCCACTGCCTTGGCTGGCGCTCGTGCAGAAAGCTTCAAAAAAAATGTATCCAATCAAAAAAATGTTAATCGATCAAAAAGATTAACGATTAATCGAGAAATTAATCGTTAATTTGCACAGCCCTAGTTTTGTGTAAAGGGAAATTGATAAAAATGTTGTTAAATGTAATAGCCAGTGATCATTATTCGTTACCCAGTGGTAACACACATTCATTTTAAATTAATATATGACTCTGACCTGTTGTAATTACTCCTATGATAAGGGTAGATATAGACATGACAGATCTGGGTGCTAGCCAATATCGCCAAGTCGTGGTTGTCAGGGGCAGAAAGCAATCGGACAGATAGGGAAACCTGTCTTGATTGCTATTGTTCTTCCACAGTAAGCTGGCACTAGGAGCCTCTTCTACAAGCCCTCCCACTCCTTTCCTTTCCATTAAAAGTCAGCTTGTCATCTTAGCAATTTTATTCTCTTGCTTCTAAGCAATTTAACCTTGTGTTATCAGTCACCCCATCTGCAATACATTAAAATCAATTTATTTCAGTTGAGATGACTGCCAACCAGTGGTAAATTGCTCAATAACAAGAAAAAAGTTGTCAGTGTAGTGTAGCCTGTGCCTGTGTATCTAAGTTTATTTGACTAGTGCTCTTTGTTTTCCTGAATTCTATTGTGTTTTTAAACTATAGTTATACTATTTATTCAAGTTTTAGACTTACATTCACTACCTAGAAGTTCACATCCTTAGTATGCCTGCACTTTGTTTCACCCAGAATTCCTTTTAAACTCAGGAAATGTAAACTCATTCAGGATGGAACAAATGGGAAAGAAAGTGCCCGCATCTCCTTTTAGCTTGAGTGCTCTATAAGAAGTGCTCTCACAAATGAGTTAAATCATGAAGAAGGATTAAATACTGAGATGAATCTTTGTCCTCTACTACACAGATGAGGCCACCTTGGAACTCATGAAAACCCCTCGTTGTTCTTTGCCTGACCTGTCCCAATCAGAGGCCACAAGGAGGAAGCGAAACATCCAGATGGTGACCAAGTGGAACAAGAGGAATTTATCCTGGAGGTAACCCGTTACATTCATCTATATTGGGTCAGATTAGGGAGTATGTATGAAACCAGCATGAAATGATGCCTTCAAAGGACTGGTAAACACTCATCCTGGTGTGTAAAATGTTCAATGACATTCACAGATAAATAGGTAGGAGTGCCAGGAACTTCATTGTGGGAAAATAACTTTGCCAACACAAAGCAGATTTCCTGTCCTGTAATCACCAGAACGACCAACTGCAGCCCACTCATTAGATGTGAAACCCTCTAAATATTTTTACATAAACACTTTAGCTTTATTACATACATTATTTTAGACCCAGTGATATGAATTCCTGGTCTTTGTGCTTCTCTGTGTAATGCAGGCAGATCATGGCTGGTGGGAAGGGCCGGCAGGGTGCTTGACTTAGCTTTCTGAAAACAGTACAGCACCCTACCTCAGTACCTTTCTCAAGAGCCCTCAGCCGTGTTACAAGCAGTGAGCTGACTCTTGGAAGGAGTCAGGCAAATACCAAAATGCCTTGAGGGGTACATGTCAGTCTGGAGGAGAAGATGTTCCTAAGCAGGCTTTTTTTTGCACGCAAGTACGCCCATAGGTAAGCCCTAGGTAAGGCCCACATGTGATGCTGAGCTTATATGATTGAAATAACTGAAATCCAATGAATGAAAGGGCCTAGATCAGTTAAGCTGGCCATACCCCTATAGATTTTCTGCAGATTTTATATGGTCATATGCAAAAAGTGCAACAGATTCCCCCATCTATGCTAAACTTTGTGGATGGAGTCATTACCCGCAGGGCCAAGCTTCAGTATCTTGCACATCGGCACCTCTGGCTGTCAAAATACCTGAGCAATCTAATTGAATGCAGGCATTGTTCAGGTGTTTTGAGAGCCAGTGTGGCTGACTAGCAAGATACTGAAGCTTGGCCCAGTGGGAGATTCTACTATCCGCACAGTTTAGCATAGATGGAGGAATCTGTTGCACTTTTTCCATCTGACTATAGAAAATCTTCAGATAATCTAGAGGGGTATGGCCAGCTTTAGGCTAGAGAGGAATGAGCTAGATGATACTGGATGCCCTCCAGTTGGGAAATGAGGGGGGTACTATCTGGCTTGCTGCAGCTAGAGTTCAGCTCTCAGCTCAGCACTGACAGTAATGCACCCATAGTAGACAATAACTAGGAGGCAACATATCCAGCATTGTGTAATAGTTACAAGAAAGGCATGAAAGCAAAGGAAATGAAAACAATAAATATATAGACAGCAACCCCATCAGGCAATTAAGGCATTTTAGATGTATTTCACCCAAAGATCTGGTGCTTGGGGTTATCTATTGCAATTAGGGCTGATTTCAGATGGGTTTTTTTTTTTTCATGGCAGATGAAATAGTTAGAAGCGCGGCATTTCAATTGTAACAAATGCTGGAACATTTGTTAGAATGTCATCTGCCGGCATGCTGTTAGAACAGGCTGGCAGACAGTACAATGACTCCATATACATCATCTTATCAGAGCATTTCTCACACTCGTAAGGAAAGCTACGCTGTGAATTTCATTGGGACGCTCTGTGGTTCTGTCACACCCGATGAAAGAGGCCCATTTATCTCATGTAAGAAGAACACTCAATTGCAAACATTCCCTAATGTGGTAATTGTCAGATGCAGCTCTTCCTATCATATAGCGAGGTGAGAATTTTGAGATCAGGGTAGGCAGAAGGCAAGGTTTTCACCTCAGGTAATGTGTCCTCAGCTGCCCGCTTGTATACACTTCAGGTACACATAGCTTTTATCTTTGTACAGATGCATTAGTATCAATACCAGCAAAAAAAACAAGAAGGCTGAGCTGATACAAACCCCATGGGTGGCCGTCATTTTTTATCCTTTTCACTGCCAAGCTGTTGCACAAATGAGCCAAAACCATTTTATTGGTAGAATGTGTTGCTCCAAGGTGTAAAGGAGCTAAGTGACTGTCTGCATACATTCTCACCTATACATTGTACTTCAGCTAGCCATACACAGCTTTGTATTCGGTGAAATACTGCTGAATCAGCCAAAATTCAAGCCATGTGGGCCCTGTTGACACCGCCTGGTTCAATAAAAGTTGATGTAGGAAATCGACTGAGCTGGGTGAAAAATATAAAAGACAGCAGTGGCTGTCTGAATTCAAACGCACGCTTGTTTCTCTTGTTCAGCCCACAGGCTGATCAAGAGAAATCTAAGGGGTTGATGAATAACCCTTCCACCCAGGCTATAGATACCAGATACATGATGCTACAGCCACTAGATGGCACTGAGAAGCATAGAAATTTCCTATTCCCCTCAGCTCCATCTAGTGGTGGTATAGCTTTCACTAGATGGCGCTAGCTAGCTAAATCCACCACTAAGTGTGTATGGCTAGCCTTAGTTAATGAGTTTTTTTTTAAACAAGCAGCTTTGAATTAAACACATCCTGGCTTTCTGGTAGAGACCTTAGAACAGGTTACAATGCTGTGTCATACTGAGTCTACCAACAGGTGTTCTGTGTAAGCTGCTAGAGCAGAATGCCGAGTTTCAATGGTGACTATAGGGTCCCCCCCTGTTTATTTTTTACCGGTACGAATGGGATCCTGACTACAGACCAGGACAATTACAAAGCAGACTGGAAGCTGAACTCCAGGCAAACAACCAAATACACACAAGAAATGTATACATTTTATTGGTGCTCTTTTACCTGTTAAAGGATTTATATTTTCTTTGCCTTGTCTCTGTCTTTTCATTCCTGAGACTGACACAGCCCTTTTAGACTGCACAGCTAGCCTGGGGACACATTTAAAAAAAAATAATAATAATAAATGCTCACTTTTTTTTTAAATGTGCATTTATTATTTTTTTGGCATTGGAGCCAGTAAAGCATTGCAACCGTGATCCGTGGATCGCGGGTACAATGCTCTTGCTCCTGCAGACTCTTCCTCCCTTTCATGTCTGCACCTCAGTACAGACATTTGGTAACAAGGATGGAAGAAAGAATCAGTGGACTACAAGTACGGTGATGTCAATGAGTACTACAAGTAGGGCTGCACCGATACTAGTATCGGGGCCAATACCGAATATTTTTGTGAGTACTCTTACTCACCCAAATGCTTTGATACTTACCTCTGATACAGGAACTTCTGGTCAGAGGGAGATCTCCCTTTGGATGGCAGTGCCGAGGGAGCAAGGAGCCAGCTGACTTTCCAATCAGGAAGCCAGGCAGCGGGTAATGGCCTGCCTCCTGGCTTCCTGTTTGGCTAGGAAGCTGGCTTCACTTGTTGCTAGGCAGCCTGGCTCTTAACCAATCAGGAAGCCAGGCGGCCTATCAACAAGTGACGCCGGCTTCCTAGCCAATCAGGAAGCCTGGAAATGCATCATGACATGCTGACCGCCTTCTTGATTTTCTAGGAACCGGCTTCACTTGTTGCTATAAGGCTGTAAAAAGAATATTCAGGCCAGTGGGTAATTGTGTAAGGACAGGGGCTACTACGAACTAACCATGTTTCATGGTATCCCGATCCCATCCGATATCCATCAGATATACTGTATATCCAGAAGAGAATCAAGGCTCCAACTGTGAATAAACAGACAGGAACAGGGAATGTCATTAAAGGCTAAGTTCAACTTTTAGAACATGTTTCATGTTATATTCAGGGTGTAACATGAAACATGGTCAGATTGCAACCTCCCCAAAATCATCCTGCTCCCCACTTACCTGAATTGCAGGGTTCTGCCACAGCCGTGTCATCTATTCATAGATTATTTGACAGGATCTGTAAATGGAGAGGCTACAAGTCTTATCACTCACCACACCAAAGGGGTTTAGACTTCTCAATAAAATACAAATGCGGTGATGTCACTGCACTTGTTGTCCATTCATACTTCCTCCTTTCCATTTTACTGCATGTCTGTACCTCATTATGGACAGGGGCAAGAGGAAGAGTCTACAGGAGCCAGAACATTGCATCCTCAATCTATTGCTCACAGTTGCAATGTTTTACTGGCTCTAAATAAAAAAATAAATACACATTTTTTTATTTTATAAATGTGTATTTATTATTTTCCATAATGCAGCTTAAAAAATAGGTACTTCTAGAAAGTAAGGACAATTATAAGGTTAAAACAAAATAAAATAAATAATAGTAGTAGACTCTAACCAGTGATTTCAGTAAGGCTTTCCATTTCTATTAGTCGGCTGTGATATGTGAAACAAGATCACAGATTTGCAGAGTAGGCTGAGACACTGCAGAAATTGCTTTTGCCTTTTAACCCTTAAGATGCTCCACATACATTATGTGTGGATGGCATTCCTGGCTAGCTTCTACGGAGACTTGTTGTCATGCACACTTTGGCTGACAGCGCCACCTGCAGGATGCTGCATACAGAGCGGACATCTTAATTCTCTCTCACAAAATGTAGCTACATATCATATTTTGTTTGTTACCCTGTATTCCTTATGTAATGTAAAGAGAGATCACGATATCCAATTCAAGTGCAGTAGAATTCTGCCATTAAGAGTGAACTCAGCCAAAATGCATATGAACGAACTTTGACCACTTTCAGACTTCTACACTGCAAACTATGACAGGGTGCCGACTGTTATTATTTACTCCACCACTCTCTGTACCTCTATCCTGCATTGTTGGCTCCTCATTCCCCAACCCCTACCTAATTTGTTTGTGCAGTACTATCCCTCTGACACCTCAATCGTTCTACATGTCTCTTGAATTCTTCCAACCCCATAACCCACACCACTCTCAACCCACACCAAATCTTTGTGCCCTATCAACCTCTTCATGCAGCACTCCCCAATGTCCATAGTGACCTCCTTTGCGTGGTACCTACTCTCCAACGCCTCTCACTGACACCTGGTTGTGACCTCTGTGCTGTTTTCCTCCCTACACTCCAGTGCTGATGTCCCTTAACTGTGTGTCCTTTCTTTGATCCACTAATTAATCCATACATGTCCTTCTGCTGCTGCCTTCTTTTTACTCCACTATTCTGACTATG